TCGGGCAGTGTTTCATTCTGCTGTGCAGGGGGTCGCTATGAGTCGGAAACGACTCGACGGCACTTAACAACAATAACAACAACAGCCATTCAAAATAAAAAATGTAAATTAAAACTACAATGTCACTGAACTATATATGTGAAGATTATTGAAATGGCAGTTTTGTTACATATATGTTGTTGTTATTATATGCCGTCGAGTTGGCCCTGACTCATAGCGACCCCTCCTTGGGTTTCCAAGGCAGTATCAGTTCGGAAGTAGTAGATTGCCTAAACTACCTTCCAAGGAATGGCTGGTGGGTTTGAACCGCCAGCCTTCTGGTTAGCAGTTAAGTGCCTTAGGCATTATGCTACCAGAGCTCCTTACGTATACATTTACCAAAATTAAAAAAAAAAAAATTAATTCTTTAAAAAAAGACTACACTAAGATACCATTTTTCACTCAGATTGACAAAGATTATAAAGTTTGATAACACCATTTTGGCCATAGTGTTACAGGAAAGGAATGCAATTCCTATGGAAAGAAATTTGGAACTATTTACCTAAATGCAATACACTTTGACCTGATAATGCCGTTTTTAGGGCTTTATCCTACAGATGATCCTCAGTGCACACATGCAAAATAAAGTGTGTGTGTATGTGGTTATGCACTGTAGTATTATTTGTAATAACAGATTGGAAACAACCTAAATGTTCATCCCTAGGGGACTGGTTCCATAAAATATGGTACATCTATACAATGAAATACTGTAAAAGCTACAAAGAAGAATGAGGAAGGTCTATGTATCAATAGGGAAGATCTCCAAGATGTACTTTCAAGTGAAAAGCAAAGTAGAGAACAACATATGTACTATTTGTACATGAACATTTGAATTTTTTTTTAAAAAGGAAATGCTTATGTATTAGGTTTTACATCCACGAAATATTTGAAGGCGTATACAGGCATTGTACACTGGATACCTATTAGGCAAACTGGCTGGGTGGCAGCAGGGGTGAGAAGGGAGATGTTTCATTGTAGATCTTTTCATACTTTTTGAATCCTGAATCCCTACATTGGCAGTGGGAGTCCTCTCAGCCCAGGAGCCAGTGGCATTCATGCTATAACCACCCAGGCCCTTCACACCTGAAAATGCTGCTTACCAGCTAGGAGCAATGTGTGAGTGTTCTTGTTATCCGGCACTTTGTCTGACCTCTCACAAGGGTGCATTCCCAAGAATTTCACGATATTGCCCACAGCCTCTGTAGGGAGAAATCCTAGCATCATTAAGGCACATACCTTGTCTTGCCCTTTGGGTCACCACCCCCCCCATCTATCCCAAACACTGAAGGGCTTTTAGTGAAGTGGCACTTGAAGTGTGTGCCCTAGACATGGCCCTGGATCCTCAGGAGGGTTAAAGATGGGAAGGGAGAAAAGGGAAGGAGTACTTTGGCAGTGGCCAAGGGTCTTGAAAGCCAAGAAGGCCAGAAATAGCATCCCCAGGATTTACCTTCAAGTGTCTTGATGGTAGACAAGGTGAAAGTTTCCTCTTTCTCAAACTCATCCCCTACCTCGTCCCAGGCTGCTTCGAAGTTCAACTTCATGACCTTTTGGATGTGATCAGCCACAGTGACTTCCAGATCTTCCAGCTGAAGACAGAGATGAAAGATAGCCACACATCCACGGAGGAGAGACTCCTTGCTCTGCACATCTCTGGGCCTCTACTCTGAATTCAACCACTCACCACCTCCTGCAACATACTCAGCAGGTGCATGCTATGAGCTGAGGATTGTCCCAGGCTTTGGGGACACACAGCAATCTGAGTGGGTAACCACTGTTAATGCATAGCCCAGTGATGACCGTTTAACCCTGAGCCCAAGTATCAACACACCAAAATTCTACTCATCCACGGGCTGTCAGCTGAGAGATAATATTCCCTCTAAAACCTGCCTGGAGTCAGTGCCACCAGGATGCAGCATCCAAGGGACTGCAAGGAAAACTCTTCAAGGTCTGCCTGCCATGATTCCGTAACTCCTTAGCACTGTAAGCACCTTGATATTCAGCAGCTATTTCTGATTCAGCAGATCCTTCCCCCTGCCTCAACTGTGTCCTCGGCCCAAATACACTGGAACACCCCACCTCCCATATATCAGATGTACCCTCCCTGAACCTGACACATAATACACCCACCCACCTTGACTAAATCTACATAAAGTTTCCTTCTTCATTTACCCAGCACAGCTTCCCTAAGCTCTTACTCTTGTGGATGTTAAGGGGAATATAAGCAAGACTCAGCTCCACAGTAGAAGGAATGCCTTGGAATCAGCTCTCTCAAGGAGCTCACTTGGTACTAAGGATATTCCAGGGGTCTACAATGATTTCTGACTAAGGCAAGGCCTATCCTCAACTATGGTTCTAAGACGACACACTGGTGCATGTCAGCTGTATTCCACAGTGATTGTCTATCTAGTTATGAGGAACTCTAAAAATCCCTATCTCAGGCTGGGCATATGCACTCCAATTGCACTGAGCCACTGCCCCATGGTCAAAACCCAAAATGATCCTGTACTCTATTGTATCCAAGGTTAGAGGTGAAAATGGGAGGGATATTTCAGTGTACAGAAGGACTGCTCCACAGATGCAGACTGATCCAATCTATCTAGGCAGTAATTTGACAGTATGAATAAAAGTCTTAAAATCATTCTTACCCTTTAACTCAATTACTCTCCTAGGAATCTATCTTAAGGAAATAATCCAAAATGCAATAAAAACCTGTATGCAATAGGACAAATTTAATGTTCAACAAAACACTATAAAAGTGAAAATTTGGAAATCCAAATATCCAACATCAGAGGAATGAAAGGTCAAGTGAATTACGTTATCTCTATGTAACAGTATTTCAAAGCCATTAAAAATTGTTTATGAAGTATTTGTAATGACATGAGAAAATATACCATAACTTTAAGTGAAAAAAGCAAGATCTATAATGTACAGAATGACTTTAATTATGCTACTTCTCTTAAAAAAAAAAAAAAACCTCCCAAAGATTATGGGTAGTATCTTCCTGTTTATTTATACTCTGTATTTGTAGTTACCAACCTTTAAAAAACATTTTTTTACCAGAGTAATTTTGTAAGTAACTATATACACACACACACACACATATACCAAAACCACACTCATTGCCATCAAGTTGATTCCCAATCATAGTGACACCCATTGGGCTTCCAAGGCTGTAAATCTTTACAGAGCAGATTGCTCCATCTTTCTTCCAAAGAGCGGCTGGTGGGTTCAAACCACCCTTAACCACTACACCACCAGAGCTCCTTCTATATGTATATAGTTACTTACTAAATTACACACTCATATGTGTGTATGTACACACACAATTTTTTTTTTTTATTGTGATTTGGGTGAAGATTTACAGAGCAAATTCACTTTCCATACAGCAGTTCACATATACTTTGTCTCACGTCATTGACCACAGTTTACCACAATGCAACAGCTCCCCTCCCACTTCCTCCCCATAGTTACCTCTTCCCAGTGACCATCCCTCCATAATCTCCTGCACCCTGAGCTGTTTCCCTGTGCATAAGCAGCCCTTCCTTCTCCCATGATTGTTCTCTCTAGGGCGTGTGTCTACTTGAGGTAAATGTTTAACTCACATGCCTGTACATTGTTTGGCTGGAAACCACAGGTGTGGGTTCAATTCCAGACCTGAAGGGCAGCTAGGGGCCATAGTCTCAGTGGTTCCACCAGGCTCTATTGGACCAGAAAATCTGGTCCTCACCTTCTTTTTTTTTTTTTTGCCTCCAAATGATTTTGAGTTTTGTTCCACATTGTTCTCCCTCTCTATCCAGGATCTCGTACATCCCTTCCAAGTGGATGACAGTGGTAGCCGGGCACCATCTAGATCTTCTGGTCTCATAGTTGTATAGGTTGCATATCGGATGCACACACACAATTTTAAAGAGATCTATAATGCCAGGAAAAGGAATCCAGTCTAACTAGCTCCTGGAGGGAGTTTCTCTGCAGTCTCTAGCACAAAACTAAGCCTCCTGACCTAGCTTCTTACCACATATTCATCCTCATATCCTTCATCATCAGTCTCCCCTGTGGTGGGGTCACAGTCCTTGACAGTGAACTTCATCATGCAGCTGAATGTGCAGGCCACTGTAGGAAGAAAGGTTGAGTGGTCAGGATGTCCCCAGACATTGTGGGCAACAAGCTCCTCCTTAGGGCAGGTGATTTGTCTAAGTTTATATGGCTGGTAAGAGGTAGAACCCAACTCTGTCTGGGTCTCAAGCCAGTACTCCTTAGTTATGCCATGTTGTCTCCCAAATACCTCTACCTTTAACTTCTATCTCTAATTCAACTGTGATAATGTCTAAGTAGTCTCCAGTACCCAGCACTCAGAAGAAGCCCAATAAATGACAGTTCCTACTCTTATTCCCCGAAAGGAGAGACTAACCCAAAACTGTGGAGACAGAACCTGCTCCCTAGGCTTCTGCTAGATTATTAATTGCAGCAAAAAGCCATTCTAACACCACAAATCTGGACAGAGGGTACTACCTCATAGAAGGACAGGAAATTCATGTCATAGGCTTAAGGAGTCCCCTCACAAGGAAGGAAGAGATAAAAAAGCAGTGACAATGCAGACTGGCTACAACCACTAATAGTCACAGGCCTACCTACTGTCCAAGGCCTGGTGGACTGTCCAAACTGGTGGTTTCATTTGGTGTAACAGATTTGGAGTGTTTGAGCATTTTTGTCTGTGACTTTGGGAGACAAGATGGTAATGAAAGAGGACAGGTCTGAGATAGAACATGTGGTCAGTGAAGATGTGTTTGGTGCAGCAGATGACATACTCTGTCTCTGAGTGAGTGAGGGCTACGGGCTCAGGGAAGGACTTTAAGAAGGGCCCTAGTCCACAGACCTCTGGCACTGCTGCCAATTGCTCTGATCTGGGCTCTACCTGTTACAGCCATATAAACTTAGACAAGTCATTTAACCTGAGTCTCAATTTCCTCATCTATGAATAGGGACAGCAGTACTTATCCTCATAGGTTTGTAATAAAGTTTAAATAAGATAATGTATGAAAAGTACCCAGGACTTAGCCATTCTTCTTTTTCTCAGGATTGAAATCAAGGAGCTGAAGCTCTAAATGAAGAAAAGTAGCTGGTGTCCAAGCTGCCCATCTCACCCAAATCCCATGATGATTATCTAAAGGGGGGCTCACCAGCTGTGGGATCTTCCTTGGGCAGTGCCACCAGCGTGTAGCAGGTCCCAGGCTGGTTGTAGGGCAGGCTTCGGGCAGGGACATAACAAAGCACCTCATAAGACTCAGTGGGCTCCATCTGCACTGTGATGTTCTCCAAAGTCTGGTCATTGAGTGTGTTGGTGCAGTCAAACTGGACCAGGGAGAGGAGGAACTTAGCCATGCTATAGGGAAGAGCCAGGAGGGCCTACCTCTAATCCCAAGGGCTAAACTGGCTCCTTCCTAATCATCCTATTCTAGGTTCCCCGTCTCTAAACTTATATTCAGGAGGAGAAGTCCTGGGTCAAGAGGTGTAAGAGCCTTACCACCTGATGACAGACTTTGTCATCAAGTAGGTCTCCCAATAACCTCAGTGTGGAGAAGCCATGAGCCTACAGGACCCATCAGACCTGGGACCACTCTAGCAGGGCCATGTCCTAGCAGGCCCTCAGCCCTCCCTACTCACCTGAAACACCATGTGGTCAGTGAAGGTGTGTTTGGTGCAGCGGATGACATACTCTGTCTCTGATTCGGTGAGGGCCACAGGCTCAGGTGAGGACTTGAAAAGGGGCCCTAGTCCATGGAACTCTGGCACTGCTGCCAATTGCTCTGAAACCCATAGGCCACACATTCACTCAGCTTCCTGATTCCAAGAACAACTTGTGAAGGTACCTAGTCAATTCCCACAACCCATTCTCATGGTCTGGGAATTAGACACACAGTCCCTCCCCTTAAAGAAAGCAGGACCAGAGGGAGGAAACCTAAATAGAAATTGACAAAGCAACGTGGATTGCACACATCCACAACCCAAAAGAAAGTACCAGTTTCTTTAGAGCCCAGCTGTACTGAATCAGACCTCCTGAACAGGCCTGGGCTCCAGGAACCACCAGAACTGAGGCCAAGTGACAGCTCTGAAACAGTCTGATTTGGATCTTACTTCTAGACACTCCACTTTCTTGCTGTGAAATTGTGAGCAAATCACTTTCTCTCTCTGAACCTCTAAGTCCTCAGATATCAAGTGGGCCTAATAACCCATACCTCTAAGTTAAATGTCTAAGTAGCCTCCAGTGACTAGCACTCAGAAGAGGTCTAATAAATAACAATTCTTACTCTTATTCCCAAAGGAAGCAACTATCCTAATACTTCAGAGACAGAGTGCAGGGAATGAAAACCCCATCTAGCATTGTTACTCACCCTGGAAGATCTCCTGCCGGGTGGCTGCCACTTTCTCAGGCTGCTTAACTGCTGTGATGGGGGTGCTTTCTGCAGGACAAATACATATGGAGTCTACAGTATGGAGTAGACCACTCAGGGATTATAACTTCCAACCCTCCAGAGACCATGTGTGAAAGAGAACAAAAGTGTATGTGTACCTGTGGCTCTTCATCTTCTGGAACCAGATTAGAAGGGATGATCCCCCTCCTAGCACAGTCCCACCCAACCTGGGGAGGGCTAATGGCTTCACAGCCATTGCATACTCCCCAGGAGGCCAGATTTGAGGGTCCCTGAAAGGAACACAGATATTACCTGTTCTCTGCTCTACAACGGGTGTGGTGGCTAGGGGAACAGACTTGAGGTCGAAAGGTTTTTCTGATGGTTCTAGAGTGTACTGCTGCAAAGCTCTCTCCAGACCAGGGATGGACACAGTCAGACCTAAAGGACAGTAGGAGAGAGGTCACTTGCCTAAAAGGCATGACAATATTCCAGGAACCCTCCATGGAAGACTGAAGGTCTCAGGTCCCCAAATTATAAATCCTAGGTTGTATGACCCTGAGTAAATCACTTAACCCTCTAAGCCTCCATTTCTTTATCTACATCCTCCTTCATAGGATTAGTGTGGGGAGTAAAAGAAAATACTATGAAATAAAAGTTTCAATTAACAACTAGTGTTTCAACCCACTGGGCTGCTTTCATCCAGTCTGGTGTGCCCCACGTGACCCTGGGTCTTCTGAGGTTACAATAGAGCCATGAGGTCACCACTGACATCCAATTGGGAGCATCATGCCTTGGCTTTCTCTTCCCAGGGAGACAGTACCTGCTCTGGAATGATAGTGAGGGCCACAACTCCAGGCTAAGTTAAAGAAAGCCAAAGGAAGACTTACCGTTTAGGATGTAGCCTGCATTGAGGGCCTTCTGCTTCTGCTCCAGAACATTTAGATAGAAGGTTGCTCTGTCCCTTACTTCATTGTCATCATCCATTACACACCTGCAGCCAGAACACATGGTGCTTCTGACTGGGGCCTAGCAGGGGTAACAGGAGGGATCCTGAGGGGCTTCATCAGAGCTCAGTCCCCAGATAGGGTATCCAGGCATCTCTTGAATGAGGGCATCAAAATGCACTGAGGGGCCCATGAAATTCCAACTAGGAGATGACCACATTCACTGCTATTCCCTTTCTCTGGGCCCTCTCCCTAAAGCCCACCCAGTGAGGGTATCCAACAACATATGACAAAAATAATTCAGTATGACTTACCAATCCCACTCTTAGGTATATACCAAACTACCAAATCCACTGCCATCAAGTCGGATCCAACTCATAGCAACCCCCCCTAGATTTCCAAGGCAGTATCACTATGGAAGTAGATTGCCCAACCATCCTTCTGAGGAGCGGCTGGTGGGTTTGAACCGCCAAGCTTCTGGTTAGCAGTCACTATGCCACCGGAGCTCCCTCTTATGTATATACCCAAGAAAAATGAAAACATATGTCCACATAAAAATTTATATATAAGAATGGTCATAACAACATTACTCATAATAACCAAAAAGTGGAAACAACCCAAATGCCCATCAACTGATGAATGGATGGGCACAATAATAATCCACTGTTGTTCCATACAATAGAGTATTATTTGCCAAAAAAAAAAGGAATGAAGCACTGACATATCCTATAACATGGATGAATCTTACTGATGAAAACATTGTTCTAAGGGAAAAAAGCCAGTCACAAAAGGCCACAAACAGTACGATTCCATTTACAGGAAATGTCCAGAAAAGGCAAATTCATGGAAATATAAACTAAATTAACAGTTGCCAGGAGCTAGGGCTGGTGAGTAGGGGTGGGAAAGTTGGAGCAGGGAGGAGTGACTGTTAATGGCTATAAGGGTTCTTTTTTTGGGTGATAAATGTTCTAAACTTAGATTGTGGTGATAGTTGTACAATTCTATAACTATACTAAAAACCACTAAATTATACACTTTAAATGTGTGAATTAAAAGGTACATGAATTATATCTAAATAAGATGGTTTTTAATAAAAGAAAAAGTAACTCAACTTAACAATGGTCACCTCTGGGTGATGGGATTTTATGTGACAATTTTCTCCATGCTTTTCTATGTTTGTTTGTTTGTTCCCCCATGATCAATAGTTTTATAACTTTTTTCTCTCCCTTTAAGCTTAAGAAAGAAAAAGAGAGAGGAAAGCTGGTGGGCCCTCTGGTCTAGACTCACCTCTTCAGCAGCACCAAGATGCTTGGTAACATCTCTTCATTCTGGGCTCCAAACTTGGCCAGAGCACTCACAGCACCTGTGTGTATGAGACCAATACGATTCACCTAACGTACCCTGACAATTCACCATCCAGGCTCTTCTGGTGCTCAGTGGGACTTCAGGTAGAGGGTCCCAAACAGAACAGTCTTGAGTCACAAGGCTCAAATCTTTTTGGTACCTCCTGGTCTCAATTTCCTCATGTATTTAATGGAGAAGGGAGCTGAAGGAGAACAGTGGCTCCTGTTCTAGAGTTCCTGAAGCTTTTTTCACCATTAATGAGAATGAGGCCACAGAAATTGGCAACAACATCTAGTTTCTCAGTTTCTGTATCCACAGTTAAGCCTTAGAATACTATAAATGAGAAAATGACCCTATTACTTGGTGAATACAGATTGGATTGCCAGAAGAATAAAACCCATCCAGTGGGGGCATGAGGAGAAGAATAAATTAAAAATAAAAATTTAAATATGGTGGTTCCACACTGAGTTGTAACTTGGAGAATGAATTTTATGGTATGTGAATTTTATTTCAATAAAGCTGTTATTAAATTTAAACACCAACATACAGTGAAACTTAAAAAATAAACCAAGACAAAGTAGACAGAACTATGCAACATAATGAGATCTAAGATCTTTCCTAGACTCTTATAAAAAACAGAGCTTATGAGCCAAGAATACCAAGTCCTTACCATTAGGGCCCACATACCTTTCCTAGGACATAAATTCAAGAACAAACTGTGAGCCCAAGTTCAACACTGGCTCAGACCCACCTGCTCGGACCTCCTCATGCTCCAAAACCACTCGGTTATAGATGAAGCGGATATACTTGGAGGGGTTGTTGGTCTTGGGTCCCTCCTGGCCTAAGAGATGCAGGATGCGGGTGGCCAGCACGGTGAACTCACAGTCCTCAATGAACTCACATAGGTGGGACAGCCCTGTCTCTTTGCTCTCTGAGTTCTCCTCAATGATGCTGATGATGCAGTCCACAATCGCACGCTTGTACTCAAAGCCACCCTGCAGTGGGAAAGGGCAAATTTCTCTCCAGAAATGAGCTATGAGGCCCAAAGTCCAAACAAAGAACCTGAAGGCAGGAGACCTGGCTGCTTGTTCAAATTTTACTACTGAATCATCAGGTAACCCTGAGTAAGTAATTTAATGTCTCTGGGCCTATATCAGCTTTCTGTGTAAAACAAAAGGCTTGGACTGCATGCTCTCTACGGCCCTTTTAGTTCCAACAGTAGATGGCTTAAGAGGAATATTTTGGATTCTACCTTCTTTCCCAACTTTGAGGTAAGACAAAAGGCAGAAGAGAATAAGGCAGTAGAAAGTCCAAAGATCCCCATTCAAAGCTGCACTCTGGTACCTATAGACTTTAATGACAGAAGTGGCAACTCAGATGCTCACGGTTGCGAGGCATATAACCTAATAGGTTGAAGCCAGCTGGATGGGACCCTTTAAGCAATAGAGAGTGGAAGTCCCATCTAGAAAGGGGAGCCCTACCAGCCTTGTGTTGCCAGATATGACATTTTTTCAAGGGAAAACTAATAACCTGCTGTGGTGGTGGTAGCTGTTATTTTCACATGAAATTCCCTATGTTTTAAAACATTAATTCAAAAGGAGCCCTGATGATGCAATGGTTAAGCACTCAGCTGCCAACCAAAATGTCAATGATTCAAACCCACCAGCTACTCCATGGGAGATCATGATTTGCTCCCACAACGATTAAGGCCTAGGAAACCCTATGGGGCAGTTCCACTCTATCCTGTAGGGTTGCTGTGAGTCAGAATTGCCTTGATGGCACACGATAACATTAAAAACTTTTCAAACATGGTACAGTCTAAGCAAACCTCATCTGTGGGTTAGCTCTGGCCCCATGGGGGATATTTTTGGTTTAAGGTTTAAAGACTTATCTTAGGGCAATAGTTTCAGGGGTTCATTCAGACTCTATGGCTTCAGAAAGTCTACAAGAGTTTGAAATTCTGTTCTGCGGTTTCCCCCTTTTGATCAGGAACTTCCACAGAATCTTTGATCAAAAATGTTCAGTAATGGTACCCGGGAACTATCTAGTACTTATAGTCTCATGGCAAAGAAGGCAATTGTTCATGGAGGCAATTAGCCACATATTTCATTTCCCCCTCCTATACTTGACTCTCCTTCTCCCTCTGTTGCGCCACACAAATAGAGACCAACTGTTACTTGCAACATTTTCATTTTTAAGACATCAAGCAATACATACCTAACTAGGAGGTAGGTACCTAACTAGGAGGTAGGTATATTATTAGGCCAATTAACTGAGATGTCCCATGAAACCACGACCCTTAACCTGCAAACCAAGGAATCAAATCCCATAAGCAACCTCAGTACTGACTGTTTTTTTGTTGTTGTTGCTTTAAATATATCACACTTTTGCCAAATGAACTTTTTATTTAAAGGTGTACAACTTATTGACAGCAATTACAATAGTTGATGTGCAACCATGCCCTTAATAAGTGCAACTTTTTCATCATTGTAAAGCAAAATTCAGTATTCTGTAAGCAATCACCCCTTTTTACCCCTCCCTCTCATTCCTGGTAACCACTCTCTGGTGGCGTAGTGCCTAAGGCACTTGACTGCTAACTTGATGGCTGGTGGTTCACACCCACCAGCCACTCCTCAGAACGAAGGTTGGGCAATCTAGCTCTGTAGAGATATCGCCTCGGAAACCCAAGGAGGGGTCACTAGGAGTCAGATCCGACTCGACGACAGTAAGTTTAGAGTTTAAAGCAAAATTCAGTACTCTGTAAGCAGTAACCCCTTTTTACCCCTCCCTCTCATTCCTCATAACCACTCCACTGGGTTTTCAATGGCCAATTTTTTGGAAGCAGATCACCAGTCTTTTTTTCTAAGGCACAAATGGGTGGATTCAAACCTCCAAACCTTCAGCTAGTAGCTCAGTGTTTAACCATTTGTACCACCTAGGGACTCCTAATTGTTGTATAGAACTACAGATTTTTTTCTGGGAGGCAGGGAGGTGTATGGCGGGAGAAGGAGAGGTGTTGGAGCCAGGCACCTCTGGGTCTGATCTTGGCTCAGATACTCATTGATCAGGTGACCACAGGCAAGTCACTTCACCTTTCTTAGCCTCAGCACCCTGATTTTTTAAAAGGTCTGCTGATAAGACCTTATGAGGATCATAAGATCATGCATACCATGTAAAGTGTCTAAAAGCACCAGGCCCATAAGCTGAAGGCTCAGTGAGCATCAGTGCTCTCCCCAGGGCAATGGCTCTTATCCTGTATTAACCTAAGGGCACTGTGAGGCTGGGGACAGAGGGGTTAAATATTTAGAGACCACAAGTATTCCATGAAGACTTTGCTTCTGTTTCTCTCAATTAAGGAGTATTGTTGCAACATCTGAGAAGGGCTGTATAAATAATTTACTAATTTATATTAAGAACAGAAACAAAAATGTCACATTAGGATCAGTTTCTCAAGAAACCATACCTAGAGTGCCTAGAATAGCCCAGAATATTTGTGTACTAGACTATACTAGTAAAGAACACACATTTTCCCATCTCTGTGCAAACATAATTTCAAGGCATTTACTGTGTATTTAAAGCCAAGGAAATGAGTCATTATAGCTACTACAATTATTACTAAGAGATGGTGAGTGCATACACCATCCATTCCCAGGGAGTTTAAAGGGCCTCAGGGACCAGAAATCTTCTACCTGGTTAACAGGTTGATCTGGGTACACCCAAGGAGAGCATGGACGCAGGTGCCAGTTAATACTCTAACAGGAGACTCTGCAGGCCCCAATGCCCTTACTCTTACCTCTTCGCGCAGCATGGTGAACAGGAAGTTCATGAGGATGGTATGCTTGCGAGGATACTTCTGACACAGGGCACTGATGGCCTGGACAACCACCACCTGAGTCAGACAGACACATGTAAGCAGCAGCCCTCTTGCTAGATCAATTTACTCTATTCACTAAGTGCCACCTGAATCCTTTCCCTTTATCAAACAAGAACACAAGAGAACTCCCTCCACACCCTCAGGAACATGCAAACCTTGACCTCACTCAGGGCAGAGTGGCATGCACAGCAGTTCCAACAGCCCCAAATTCAGATTCTGGGTCCCCCAAATTCTGCTTTTCTACTCAGACTTCAAGGTAAGTCTGCGAGTTACTCTTTACCTTACTTTGTCTTCATTCTCTTCCTACCCATTATCCTTGCTAGCTCCTGCTTCATGAAGCCTGCATCCTTTGATATTCCATCTTTGGGTCTTTTCTCATATATAGTCTCTTTGACAATCTCACTTTCAACAGCTTTAACCACTTCTTGTATGCCAACTCTCAATTTTTTCTTTCTTGTCTGAGCTCAAGACCCATATTTTCAACTGTCTAGCTCACAACTCCATGTGGTGCCCATAGGCACCTCAAACTCAACATGTCTGCAATCATAGGCATTATCTTCCTCCTCATCTAAGATTTGGGCCTCCCCCTCCTTTCTAAAACTGATCAACTACCATCAACCCAAAGCAGAAAAATGGCATCATCTTTGATGACATTCACTCCCTTACCCATCATGCTATGCTCTGCCAACTGGCTCTATTTTCCAAAGAGCTCTCAAGTCCATCCTCAACTTTCCCACGCCTGCTGCCCAGTTTAGGCTGTTCTCATCTTTCCTTGCTTCTGGTCTCCTCACTTGTTGATCCCCCATGCTGCACCAAAAGGATCCTTCTGATAAACAATTTCCACTGTTTCACTTCACAGCCTACAAAGCATTCTTATATGCCACAGGCAGTTTATTTCTGTTCACTTTGCATAAACCACGGTATAGAACTTACCACACTGTATTATAATTATCCATATTATTATATACCCTCATTAAAACTAATGACATACTATATGATTCCATTTATGTAACAATTATGAAATAATCAGAGAAATTAGAATAGATTGGTGGTTTCCAGGGTTAGGGACTGGGGAAAGGAGTGCGTATAGCTATAAAGGAGTAACACTGGAGAGTCTTCTGGTGATGGAAGCTAAGCATATTGATTATGGTGGTAGTTACACAAGGCTACACATGACAAAAATGCATAGAGGTGCATGTGCACGCGCACACACACACACACACAAGAGTACATGTGTAACTGATAAGATCTGAATAAACTCTAAGGATTGTGCCAATATCGATTTCTTGGGTTTTGATAGTGAACCATAGTTGTGAGGCACTGGGGAGATATTGAGGGAATGAAGAATGAGACTTCTCAGTACATTTCTTTCTGCTCTCCTATGAATTATTTCAAAATACAGTTTTAAAAAAACTAAAAAACAAAACTCACTATCTTTCTTAAAATCAACTCTTCATCATGATGCACAAGGCCTTACATGGTCTAGCCCCTGCCTACTCTCTCAATTCATTGCCTGCCACTATCCCCAAAGCTAACAAGCCCCTCACTGGTTGCCTCTCTTGTTCCTGTTCATGACAGATCTGCTCCTGACTTTTTCTCCCTACCTCCCCATGGCTGACTCTCTCACATTATTCAGGTCTCAGCTCAAATGTCACTGCCTCAGAAAGGCTCTCCCAGTGCTGTCCTGGAGACTTCTGCTGGATTTCTATTTTATTTTCTTCACTGCATTACCAGTGTTTGAAGTTATCTTGTCTATTCATTTGTTTACTTGTTTATCCATTACTAAAAAGCAAGCTCCATGACAGCAGGCACCTGATGTTTTGTTCACTGCTATGTTCCCCTCTCCTAAAACTGTACACAGTATATACCAAGTGCTCAACACCAAAGGAACTAATAAATGGATCTCTGACTGGACCATAAGTGTCTTGTCTTGCAGTACAAACAAACGGACAAAGGTATAGAAGCAAGTATGTGCCTAATTCTAAATGCTAAACCTTTCCTGAATCCTCAAGCCTGATCAGCCTCTCAAATCCATATTGGAATGGGTGCAGTGGACAAGGAGAGCATATGCATAGCATCTTGCTTACTCAGGGGCCGTGAGTGCTCTAGAGGGAGTCCTAGTACCTTGAATTCATCTGAGATCTCTGACATAAAAGAGGATATCTGCTTCATGAGGCGGTCAATGCTACTCTCGCTACCCGTTTTGAGGAGGGTAGTGATGGCCAGTGTTGCGATGCTGCGATTTGAATCAGTGACAAGGTTCTCCAGATCCAGATTACAGGCTGTCACTGCTGATGGATGCTTCATGGCAACCTGTTTAGGAGGGAACAGAAACAAAGAGAGCAGCACCTCAATTGTGTCAATTCAAGCAATGGGTTTGGCCAAGTCAAATGCCCTTTGATACAGCTCATCTCAGCAAGGGACAGTTAGTATGAAAACGGCTCTACCTTTCAAACCTAACTCATGGGCTAGTGAACACCTCCAGCTGCCCAGGCCCACCTCTTCCTATCCTCCCAAGAAGCTGGACCTCCATTCTCCCTACTCCTGGACTCTTACCTTATTGAGGGTGCGGACAGCAGCATAGCGGAGAGCAGCCTTGGGTGAACTGCAGAAAAGCTGGAGCACTGTAGGGAGATAGTTGCCATGTGCCAGGCTGCCCATGCTGGCAGGAGAGGCCTCCCAGGGAGGGGCAGGGAGATGGTGTCAAGAGTGTGCAAACGTTCTCAGGCTGTTCAGACTCAAACCCCCAGCTCAGCTGATATCTTCCTCCCCAACCAAGAAAATGAGCTCCCCTATCCAGGGTACCTGAGCTAGGAGCAGAGAGATGTCAGTCCGATTATGAGAGCCCAGTGGCTCTTGTTTGCTGAGCAATGTGTGAAGCACCTGATGTGTCTTGTCTCATTGACTCCTCACAGCCCTTTGCCCATGGCTACCAACTCAACAGGCTCCAGAGCAGATCTCAACTCTACCTCTGCCATTATTTGCCAGAGCCTCAACCTCTTTTGTGGTATGATGGAACTAAAAATACTACATCCCTAAGATGTAAGGAAGGATTCTTGATTGAAAGTGCTCAGCTGCTAATTGAAATATCTGTCATTTGAACCTACCAGCTGCTTCATGGCAGAAAGATGTGGCAGTCTGCTTCTGTAAAGATTAACTGTTTTAGAAATCTTATAGGGCAGTTCTACTCTGTCCTGTAAGGTTGCTATGAGCTAGAATAAACTCGATAGCAATGGGTTAAGATGTAATGCCGATTAAAAAACCCCCAGCACAGTGACAGGCACATAGCAGGTGTATTCATTCTTTTTCTGAACACTAGACTGTGACCTAAGGGTACTTCCCTTCTTTTCCCCCAGCACCTGGTCTAGGGTCTAGTTCCTGCAGGGACTCAACAAATGTGAAGATGGATGAAGGAGGGTCTGGTTACCTGACACAGCTGGGGCCAACTCTTTGGCACCACAGCCAGGCAGGTTAACAATGGCTGAGGCAGCTTCATATACCACCATCTCGTGCTTGTTGCGCAGGCAGCTCTCAATGAAGTCAAACAGCGGGCTGTCACGGCTATGAATGAACATGGGGCAAAAAGGGGTTGGGATGGCCTGGCACAGTAAGATGAATGAGGCTTCATCCCCCAGGAAAAGAGGGCTTGTTACCTGCCATCCTCCTCCTCCAGCTGCTTGCTGGCCACCCGGATTATCATGCAGTAGGCAAAGGGAGACTTGAGGCCGTGCCGGGTGAACTTGCTGATCATCTTACTGACAGCCAGGCGGTCATTTTTGCGCACGTGGTACAGAAGCCCCAGCGCATGGTACTAGAGGGTAGAGTGGCAATAGAGAAGAAGGGCATGAAGCCCAGGTCAGTGATTCTCTATCAGCTTCAGGTGGGCAATCCCCCCAAGACACTCTGTATATACAGCCCCTGGCATAAATACTTAACAAAGCACACAGGTGTGTTTGTGCTTCTTGTTCAAATCCCCAATTTCACCATGAGCCTGACAGGAAAGTAACAACAGAAATGAGGGAAATGCGAGGAGACATGGTATCTTTCTATAAGAGAGAGATGGCAGCTGGGGTCCTGGGCACTGTCATGCATTGTAAGGGCCCATGTGGGATACCTTATATATTAAACCTACATTAAACAACAGCACTAAAGATAGATGTTCTTATCTGTATCGACTTGCCCAAGGACTTACGGCTGGTCCTGGCAAAGCTAGGTCTGTAAAGCCAGAAGTCCAGGGTTCTCCCCTTTTCAAGAGGTAAGGTATCATACAGTTATTTCCTATCTTCTCTGCTCTTTTCTATTTTCTTACCAGGGTGGCATTTAAGAGCTAAGATATGGCAGCTGTGTGGGAAGCTTCTCTGAAAAGTGTTGTGAGGGGCCACAGACAAGTTATGAAAGGCCTAAAAACAAGAATCAGCAAATAGGCAAAGAAAGGGACAATAAACATATAGGAAGGGCCTACAGGTATGCACCAGCTGGGTTAGATGTTATATATGTTACCTTATTTGATTCTTACAACTATTGTGAAGTAGGAACGTTCATTCGCATTTTACACACAAGGAAACTGGGGTTCAGAGGAAATAAAGGCCTAGAGTACTGTTGAAGAGTTAAATAGATGAAGGCCTCACCAATATATTTATATGCATCACCAACAAAGCCAGCTAGGCAAAGGCCTGAATTCAGGAGACCCTTTCCCGCCCTGGGCCAAGTTCCTACAACATCACATACTCTAAAAAATAATATTCAGTTGGTTGTCAAACTATCTGAATCTTTTGGCACTAGCTACCAGGTAGCCTCTTAAATAAGATTCTTTTCATGAACCTTTCAGATCTCCTCATAATCCAATGGGTAAAGGATGAAAACCTACCATGGCCAAGGGCCTCTAGGATCTCTGTGGTAAGCATCCACTCTGACTCACCAGAGCCATGTCAGATGACTAAGTATTTCAAATACCACTCATCCACACACACCTCACCTGTACCATGATGTTATCACTGGATGCTGCCTCCTGGGCCTCATTCACCCAGCGCTTGACCACATCGAAGCTGCACTTCAGCAAGTGCTGTGAGCAAGAGGGTATGTTAAAGCACGGGCAGGTAGGACACTTCCTAGATCAGACCTCCTGGGCTCTGTACCTGGTCAAGCCCAGCCCTAGCATTTGCCCTGACACAGTCAGGGTCTAATTATTGTCCTGGTCCTCTGAGATTGTAACTACAAACTCAGGATGCTACTCACCCTCCCTGCCATGACAGAAAACTTCCTGCCAGATCCAAACTCCAACTATCTATAACCCAAAGGGTGGGTCAAAGAGCCCACCAGTCCACCTCCATTGATCCAGATTATCCTGGATCTTTCCACTGAGAAAGTCAATGAGATACTCAGACTTGGGATACAGAATACTTTTTTCTAACTGAAAATTGGCTCAGGATGTTCAATTTCCCACCCCCACTCATAGGGCCCCAGCCACAGGTACACACCAGAGAAGACACGAGGGCAGAGCTGGAGACGCTGGGCACCTTGTCCACAATGGCCTGTTTCATGTAGCGCTCAATGGCCTGTAGCATGGTGCTCTGTGAAGATAAGGAATGGGGTGCAACAGCACCCTGTCAATCCTCGGCAGCCCTCTAGAGTATAGGTACTGGGCTGTGGAGGAGTGGGTAGGAGAAGGGAAAAAGTAAACATTTCCATGTGTTCTTACACACCACCCTCATTTTGTATCACATGGCTCAGGGCTTTGCTCAGGAGGTAAAGGCCAACCTAATGTATGCCAGGATGAGACCCAGAGTTTGAGTGAGCAGCAAGGCACCAGTGGAGGGGAGGTGGTTCAGATACAGTAGCACAACTCACATCGGTGATCTGGCAGAGGGCACGCACAGCTGGGCCCCGGTAGTTGTCCTCCTTCCCGGTCATGTCTTTTGTCAGGCTGTGGGGGAAGGGGCTCTTCAACATATGGGATGCCTGCCTGCTCAACCCTGAGCCTACCATCCCCCAGCCCTCATGCCCCTCCACGCCTCACCAGCTCCCATTACCACACTTGCCTAGATCACTACCAAGGTCTCCTAACTATTCCTGGTCCTTCCGAGCCAAACTCCACACAGAAGCCCAAGAGAGCTCTATAAAACTCAAAACCGACCAGGTCACTATCCTGATCTTACTAAAACAGTTCTGTGGTTTTCTACTGCCATGAACATCAAGCATTAACTCTTTAATGTGGAAGTTCTCCAAATAGCTCTGCTCATCCTACAGGACTCCACTTGGACAGTTCTTCTAGGAAGTCTTTCCTGATTCAAATTCAAGTTGGGGGCACCCTGGTCACACTTTCCATGTTTAAGCATATCATAGCTGACCTAAACTGCCTAATTCCCTGGGTGTTTCTCAGTAAATTTCTGGGGTGCAGAGATTACTATATCCCCAGAGCTACACACAGGGACTGGCAGATATGCAATGAATATTTTCTGAATGAACCTATAAATAAATGTATACAACTCCTCCCTTTAAAAAAAAAAACAAAAAACTGGGCAAGGAAAAATCAGAGGACCGTGCTCTAGTTCTTAAGAGCAGGGTTACACTTTAGTCTTATCTGTTCCCTGAACCACTAAGCCTAATGCAGAATCCAATACTTAGTAAGCATTGCCTATTTGTATACCACTTGCATTCTCTATGTCTATTTTTCTAGTGTTCTCTCTTAGTACTCATTAGTGTCTTTGTGCAAAGTTCAAGGATGGCTTGGTTGACCATGAGGAACTAAGGTAAAGAAGGGTTCATACTCAAGTTAAGGGTAGAGGATCAAAAGGGGAACAGCACTCACTCCCTGAGGATTGGCAGCAGTAACTGAGGGATGAAGGAGACAGAAGAAGAAAGCACCAGGCAGCTATGCCAACAAAAAGTCTAAAACACATCAAACGTGTGGTATACACAAGAGAAAAAATGGCCTCTGTGTCAATGGACCTATCAGAGGAGCCACGTACTGTCCCCAAAGACTTGCCTGCTGGTGACAATGATGACATCCTCTGCAATACAAGACATTTCTTTGATAGTGAGGTAGCACATCCGACGAAGTGTGGGCTGTGAAAGAGATGGAAAAAGCCCTATCACCCCTGGCTCAGCCTAAGGACCAGAGTTAGAAAAAGAAAACTCCAATCTGCACAAAGGCAGCCCATACTGACCAATAGGGCCAGCTTTCCTGGGGTCTCCCACCAGCCTGTCACAAGTCGCCCCCTCAAGGAAAGCTGGGTTGGGGGTACTTACATCATTGGACTGAAAGAGCTTGGTCATGGCAAAGAAGGCCTCAGTTGCTTCAGTGGTCCCCAGATGCTCCCCCTATGGTAATCAAGAAAGAAACCTCAGCCCGGAACAGAGGGGATAGATGGCTCTTCCTGTAAGATCAGCCCAGGCTAGATCTTTGGACCCTGCAGAAGTTCTGTCAAAAGCAACACAATGGGCCCTCAAAGCAACCAAAGCTGAGTAAGTGGTTGCAACCACAAAGGCTATCAAGTCACTTAAAGTGATAATTACTTGGGTATCCCTCCATCTCCCTCAGTACCAGTTTCCCCATCCTATTACCTGGTTTATGAGATAAAGTATCTTGGTGAGGATGTGTGCACATTTCCGAGGGTTGATAGGAGTTTCATTAAATACACGAGCCTAAGAAGAAGCAACCAAGGTGATTACCTTCTAGCCCAGTTAACTTCTTTTCCACTGACTACCCTCAAGCACACTCAAGGTTCTGAGAAGTCCCAAGGTAAATAAATACACTTGCCCAGACAAGCTTATTTCCACAAGGAGTTTTCTTTTTCTTAACTCATCAAGTAACAACTTTTTTCTAAATATTAGTTATGGATGCACTGACCTACTGACAAACAAATACTAAGGGAATACTTAAGTAGAAGAAAAAACAATTAACAATAACGTTAGGTATAATAACAATATAACATATAACATAACAATGTAGGTATAACCTGTCCAGGAACAATAGTTTGTCTTTCTGGGCACAGGTTTTCTCTCCTATTATTTTCTAAATCAGTACTGAATGTATTGCTACTTCCATCATATCCATCATGAACATTTATGACGAAAGACAGTGGAACAAATGACTTGCCTCCTGGAGTACTGCACTCTTCTCAAGATGCTGGAATGGGTTGGAGCCTCCACCTACAATAAAGGAGAATAGAGAACACTGAGTACCATTCTCCTCCTGATTTTCAAAACTCATCAGACACAGAGAAGGGAAAGACATCTCTATTGTTCACCTAATAAAGTTCAAACTCCTCAGGAATTGCAATCTACCTATAGGTCCTACCACTCTCTGGCAAGGGACCTCCACTCTAGCACAAACCACTTGTAGTCACCCAGCAGCCCAGGAGCCCTGGTACAATCCTCCTGTTTCTCACTTCTCACATATCTGGCATTCATTCATACAACTCTCACTTAACCGAGTTCCTACTATGGGCCAGGGACCATTGTCTCCTCATGGGTAAGTTTCCTTCAGAGTAGAAATCATGTCTGTAATTAATTATGTGTGTAATTCTCTGACTAATGTTTGTCTCCTCCATAGGCCTGTGAAGTTGTTTTTTTTTCTTTAGCAACGATCGTGATTTAGATTCAATTTTACAAAGTAGATTCGTTTTACATTCAATAGCTCATATATATTTTGTCTCCTGACACTGACTACAATTCCCACAATGTAACAGCTCTCCTCCCAGTGGTTACCCCTTCCCCTGTGTTCTTCTTACCTATGGCATTCCTGCCTACCTAGCTTTCTCTCTCTGCAAATGCTGTCCTTCTGATCTCCCATGGTTGCCTGTTCTAAGGAGTGCGGCCTGTAAGCTCCCTGTTCATTTAATTATAACATTCTCATCTCAAGAGAATGCCTTGCTCTACTGCTGTATCAGGACACAATACAGTCCATGACATACAGTAAGCATACAGTAAGTGTTCAATATGTCTGAGTCTAGGTTTGCCAGTATCAACGCAGCCCCGCAAATCCCAAGAGATCGGGCGAAGAAAGAAACACTGGAGCATCCGTCCCATCCTTCTACTGACTGACAGGGAAACTGAGGCCCAGAGAGGAGCGTAACCCGCCCAAAGTCACCCGGCGGGTCACAGTCCGAGATTCTAAGTGGGGGATCGTGGAAAAGGCCGGTCCTCAGAGGCTTGCCACTGACCAGCTGTGGACTTTTGCACAAGCCCCTGGCCCTCCCTGGGCCTCCGTCTTCCGGTCAGGGCAGAGTCCTGAGTGCTGGCGCGGGGGCCTGGCCTCCCCCAAGTCCAGGCCTGCTGGTCTCCTCACCCGACTCCTCGTCCTTCTTGTCGAATTTCTTCAGCATGACTATGTCGGCGGGGGCGCGATGCAGCAGCACTAGGTTCGGCAAGCACGCCTAGAAGCGACTGTCCGGCAGCGGTCCCACTCGGGTAACTTCCGGGCTCCGACCAGGCCACGTCGCCCTGCGCTCTGCGCAGGCGCACTTTACAGCCCGCGCCTGCGCACATTTGGTCCTCCGTGGGCGCTTTTGGCGTTAACCCTGTCTTGCCCACAGAGGCCGGAGGGCCGGAGACTCCTAGGGCTGAGGCCTTTTAGACTGCTTAAGACCGTCAAACCAGCTTTGTGCCTTAACATTCTCCCGTTGTGTTCAGTGGGCTTCATAGTAGTTTCTTTCTCCTTACCTGCGGCGTGAGTTTAAACAGGCTTTCGGCTCTGAAGTTGTAGCACACTCCCCCGCAGTCCCACGCATAGTGCCTAAGGCGTTTGACTGCTACTAAGAAAGCTGGTGGTTCAAACCCACCAGCCACTCCTGGGAAGGAAGATTAGGCAACCTACTTCTGTAGTGATACTGTTCGGAAACGCAAGGAGGGATCCCTATGAATCAGATAAGATTCCACAGCAGTGAGTTTGTTTTTTTATTATTAAGAAGCTCTTTACATTCACACAATGGAATACTATGCAACGCTAAAGAATAATGTAGAATCTGCAAAACACCGCATAACGTGGATGAACTTGGAGGACATTATGCT